AGGGTGGAAAAACGGCCGCGGACTACACGGCAGGGCAGAAAAATGGCCACGGACCGCGCGGCAGGGCGGAAAAACGGCCGCAGACCACATGGTGTGGGTGGAAAAACAGCCGCAGACCACGCGGCGTGGGCGGAGAAACGGCCGTGGACCGTGTGGCAGGGCAGAAAAACGGCCGCAGACCATGTGGCACGGGCGGAAAAACGGCCGCAGACCATGTGGCACGGGCGGAAAAACGGCCGCAGACCACGTGGCACGGGCGGAAAATGGCTGCGGACCACGTGGCACAGGCGGAAAATGGCCGCGGACCACGTGTCACGGCGGAAAATGGCCGCGGATCCAGTTCGTACCCTGAGGCAGAGTTCGCAAACCGAGGTAAATTTTTGCGGCCGGAGCTGGTCGCAACCCGAAAAGTTTGTAAGCAGAGGCATTCGTAACCTGAGGTACCACTGTTGCTAGGCTAAAAGGACTAGGTTATTCCTGTCTGTAGTTAGCAGTGTGCTACAACAGTCCTTTATATCTTGTATGATACATTGAAACAAAAAAAAAAATTGTCAGTACAATTCATTTTTTTATTTTTATAGCTCATTCTCTGAAAAATACGTCATACTCTCTTGACAGAACTTGAATGACATTTTTCCTTTAGATTATTAGCACTGTTCTGAAAACCTGACAATGTTGCTCCATGCTCAGGTTATTTATAGATAGTTAGTCCTTCAACTTTTAAGAACAACGTCCTAAACCTTAACTGGCAGACAATTTGGGCTGTACTAGCTGTGTCTGTCAAATCACTTTTCCTGTAGGGTTCAGATCTTCACCTTTCTGAATAGGAAAGTATGAAAATTACAAATATTGATAATCTTGCCACTTATCATGCAATCAGCCAGGAAACTATTTGGAAAGTTATATTGCTACCTCTCTATCCCTATCACTTATCTGTATCACTTTAAAATGATAATTAGCAGATGTCAGCTGACAGTTATGCAGGGAAAATTGTGTTCAAAGGTTTACCTGTTTATACTGAAATATGAAGATTTGGAAGCCAGTGTGAGTGAGGACAAAATATTCTCTGAATCCCAGCCAGAATTGTTACTGGTGATGTTGTTATTATTTTGGCTGGAATTTGAAGGATATTATTATTACTCTTTCTTAAAATCCTTAAAATATAAGATTTAGAGTCAACATTCAGTAGAGATTTTTCTATTTTTGCATATTTTTCTATTTTGTATTGTGGCTGCAAGAACGTAATTTTAGAGTGCATCAACAAATGCAACTTTCAAATAACAGGATGTAATAGTTCCCATTTTTTAAATGATCATGTGCTGAGCAAAGGGATGGATTTGATGGCATAAATGGCCTTCCAACTGTGGTTCTATGTGAATATGGCATTTCAGGAAATTTTTTCCAGCAGTGATGTTAGTAATGCTGCTTGAAGGAAGTATTAGTTCAGGATGGTAAGACTTTAAATTGGTATATGATACCCAAGCTGTTAAAATGACTTTTCTGGGTAGTTCTAAACAAGGCACTTCCACTCTTATGCCATGGTAGATTTCTTCTTATAATTATTATTTGAGTAGTCTGTGTCCTATTTTATAATTCTCAGTGCAGCTGGAGTTATATATTGTATTATCTAGGTTTTGGAGGGATAAATGTGTATATACGTGCACACACACATGCACTCTACCACTCTAAAGGCTAGATGTGATCTACTGTCGCAAGTCATTCCAAAAATATAATGGAACAGAAACTAATAAATATAAAAATGATAATTTTGTACCATAAAATATTACATAAATTGAATTGTTAAAAATGCTGATACGTGCTTTTCTTCTGCATTTTATTATACTCAGTAAATTCTAATATGTTTTTAATTTAGCAAGGTGAAGTGAGGTTGAAGTGTCTGAAAGCTTTGCAGAGTTTGTATACCAACAGAGAATTGTTCCCCAAATTGGAGCTATTTACAAATAGATTTAAGGTAAGGATAACATTTGTAAAGTGTATAAAAGTTAACCTTAAAGTTAAGTGATCATTCTGATTGCTGAGAAGAGCATGTTTTGAGCAGCATATGGCAGTTAATCTTTTAAATCTGAAGCAACTTTTTGTGACAGATATGTGGCATAATGTGCTATGCTGCAAATGTGGAATATGTTTTCTTTGAGAGAATGTATTTGATACATTGAATTTCTAGAGCTTATGAACCATATAACTGATACTCAGTGATCAAATGTACACATGTGAATTGCTCTGCCTAATGACAGAAAGTTAAACTCTAACTGGCTTTGCTGGAAGTATCCAGGCACAAGTTTGAGAAATTTAATCAGTAGTTCTGTAGAACATGTGATCAGTTGAGATTTTGATTTCTTTAAATGTTTTTGTCCTGTTTTGGTTTTTGCCCTGTCACTTGTCTCATCTCTTACCTTTTCTTTATTTGTTTGCTTTTGTCATTTCCTCTCACAAGAAACCATTTACAATATGTGAAGCTACCTTCAGAACACTTCCCCTCTTCCACTTATAATCTTAGTGCAACACTTTTGATTTCCACCATACTGTAATGGAACTGTAATGTTCCTCACTGCATGACAGCTTCTTTTCTTTGAATGGCTGTCATGCAGCTAGGCATATCATTTAAATGACCCAATCAGATGGGTAGAGATTGACTTTGCACTGAATCATTGGCCACTGAATATGCATCCCTCATGGAATTGAATTCCTTAATCATTATCCGTGCAGTCAGAAACTGCCTGTTTACCTGGATCATTTACTGATTAATCCTATTTATTTTTAATATTCTATATCCCATTCATGTATGTACTTCCCACTATGTAGTGATCCAGAATACTTGGGTGCTTTCCTCTCCATCCAATAGGACACGAGTCTCTTTACTAGGAGAAACAGTTGGCTTAGACAGTGGGATTGGACTAGGAGGAATCTCCGACTTCTTCTGTAGAGCCAATCTTTCTCCTGCTTCTTCAGTAAATGGATGGAGGTTTCTGGGTCTTCTCCATTATGCAGGTTAGACCACAGTTTTAAATGTAAACATTACCCTCACCAAATAAACTTTTTCCGTGAGTAGCTCCCATGCAACTGGGTATAACATTTAAATGAGTCAGCCATCTGCAAAAGGGTTGATTTGCACTGAGCCATTAAATCAACCCCTTCTCAGAGAATTGTGCTGATTCTTTTATTTGAACTTGTGGAGACAGGACCCTCTCCTTAAGTAATTGAATGGATTAATCCTATGTAAACATTCATAATCTATATCCCACTGATTTATGAATTTCTGCCCTCTAATGATTCAGGACCATGAGAATTTATAAACTCATACTTGCTTTGAGTATGGGAAAAAAGTCACCTGTTCCATAGCAAGAAGTTTCATTTTAGCAAATTTTGGAAGAGTCCTGGTACAACCTAATATTATTTCCATAGTAGGACTAAATTAGCATTACTGCAAACTTCTGCCACACTCATCACTTGTTTCAGATGTGGCTTAAACACCACCTACTATTTTTTCTCCTACTTGTTTATTTCTGGAGTTTTAACTATATTGCCTAGTGAAAAAATCTTGGCAACCTGGAAGCTTGTGGAAAATTTTGTAAACTTGTGGTGGCCTAATAAAAGTGTAGTCTTTTTTTTTTTTTTGTAGCTAATATGCCACATGCACACAAATACAAATATATACACACAGAGAGACAAACATCTATATCTACTTATGCTCCACTGATAATGCTTTTCTTTATTAATTCTGAAGAGGAAATAGTAGTAGTTATTACATGTCTTATAAAAATGGATAGTTTAGTTTACCAAGTCTATAATATGTTTTGTGTAATCTTCTCTTTTGAAATAAAAACAGTTTGGTATTGATTTAATTCAGGTAAGATGGACATGCAGCGCAACCTACTAATCTGTATAGAAGTTCAAAATAAATTTTTGGGTGGAGTTGCATTCGTGTTACCCCAAACTATGGAAATAACAGAATTGGTTCCCAAAAGTGCTTTCATCAGCTTTGGTTGATTCACTAGTTATACCCAGACTAGACTGCACTTTGGTCATTATAACCTTTTTATATTTAAAGTACTGTGACGCAAAGTGAACGGCTATCTTGTTCAAAAGCACAGCTCTTTACTTTTAAAGCACTAAGACTGTGTTGTTTAAATCTAGCTACAACTGAAACTGTTTAGCCCAAAGAGTTCCTGTTCATATATTTGCCAAGGAGATCTGTGATATGTGCAAGCTTAAGGGGCAGAGACTTGCTATGAACCAATAGCTACAAAAAGTCTTTTTATCTATTTTTAAATTGACCTTAGAAGACACAGAAATTCCAATTAACTTTTGATTGATGTGGGATTATATTCTAAATTTACATACAGAGATTTTAACTGCTCACTTTATTTGTATTAAAAAATAGTTTAAGGTTAAACTTATAGCTTATGTGTATGTATTTCTGTTTTATAATTTATTTCCTTTCAGAAGGTTTTGGCTTTCTAAAAGTGGTATAAAATTATAATATTAGTACTACAATGTGTATCTCACATCTACCACAACAGCAGTATATATAGGAATTAATTAAAAATCAACACAATCAAAAGTAAGGATATGAAATGTAGGAAAATACAGTTTTGAGTTAATGAAACATTGACATCATACAGTACGGTGTTTTGTAGCATACATTGGTGCACTGATGGTACCAACTTATATATCTATTTTCCTGGGATTGTGTGGCAACTATGTGAGCCCAGGAAAAGATGTAGTTTATTTAAGGAGGTACCCACAGGTGTGGCATGTACACACTGACAATAGCTCCAAAGTATCATTTCAGGCTTGGATCTAAAGCACTATACATCCACAATTGAAACCTAGTGTAATGTAATCTGTATTAATTTAGTTATTAAAATTAAAAGGCCAACTTAAATGTGACCTGACAATATTTCTAAAACATATTTGTAGAGAAAATATATCCTGTGTAATTATTAGACAAGGGGCTCTTCACCTTTTGCTAGATCATTTTCTAAAAAGCAGACAACAGGTTTATAGGATATCTTGTAAGGCATTTATTTTTAAATAATCTCATATTGAAGTACCTAGTAGCATACACCTTTGGTTATGTGAACACTGCCTATGATGCTTGTCTATTTATATTTCTTTTACAGTATATAAGATTTTTTTAGCATTATTTCATGTAACATGATATTACATTTCCTGCATTGCTTTGGAAGAAGTAACTTGTCACATGCAATAAATAGATGGGTTGCTTATTAAAAATGTGTTTTATGATTCCAGTTTCTTCTGGAAACATGTTACATTCTATCATTTCAGGATCGCATTGTATCAATGACACTTGATAAAGAATATGATGTTGCTGTAGAAGCCATTCGATTAGTCACGCTAATACTTCAGTGAGTATGTTTTAAGGTAGTAGAATTTCCATTCAGCAGTAATATTTTATGCTAATAATGCATTCTCTTTCCTGTGACCAAAGATAGTTTGCTGCTTTATTTATACACTGATGTACTCCTTGAATTAGATTTGTACTATACTGTTTTTTTCTATTTTATTTACTATATTTGCTCATTTATTAAAAGCCATCAGTAACATATACTGTAGGAATGCTCAACCATAAGATCAGTTACATCTTAAACTCTTTAAAATCTTTACAAAATCTGGGATTACAGTTGCTCTTCCAATTTTGGCATCCTTGTCCAACTCCATTTTGGTTGAAGCTTCCCAAAAGACATGCATTAGTCACACATACACACATGCCAGTAGATTGCTGCAACACGCTCACAAGGGGCTGCCTTTGAAGACCATCTGGAATCTGCAGCTGGTCAAAAATGCAGTGACTTGAGCAGTGCCTGCCCCCTGGAACACCATACCCTGACATTAAGTTGGCCTTGACCCTGCCTGCCTTTTGTAAAGCATTGAAGATCTGGATGTGCTCCAGGGCCTGGGGGTTGGGAGGTTAGAAGGCCCATTGAGAGGTTTTTGTTAATTGTTTTGTCTGGGTTTACCTTTGGCACAACAGGTATGAATAATGCACCTCTAATGAAATAAAAAGGCTGCACAGGTGTAGATGAACTTTTGGACAACATACTCCATATGTGCTTTTCATTTACCAGTAGCATGAAACACTACTCCTTAAATACTGTAAGATTTTGACTTGTTCAGTCAGGTGCTTATTCAGTTGCCAAGAATGAATTTTAGGATGTTTAGCAAATACTAAAACCTTAGTTTTGCATAATTAATGTTGAGTACTTCTGCCCTACAGTGTACAGCTAAAGTGCGCGAAGCTTGCTTTAGACCAGTTGGTGTCTGAGATAACAGCATTGCAATAATAATAATAATAATAATAATAATAATAATAATAATAATAATAATACTTATATGCTGCCCAACTCTCAATGATTCTGGGTGACTCACAACAATAAAAGAAATTACAATAAAATCAATAAAAAGTAAAGATAGAAGATAAAAGATGGCAAGCATGACAGACAGATGGAATTAAGCGAGGGGTCTCACTCCCACACCAAAGGCCTGGTCTGTCCTTCTGCTTTGGAAGGTGGTGAGCTTGATTATTGATCTTGGTCACAATACAGATTGAACAGTACTGCCACCAAGATGCGTCCTTGCCTAACGCTTCTGCTGACAAGAATGTTTTTCATGTAATGGAGCTTCATACTGCACCTAACTTTTAAACTAGAGTTCTCATAGTGTTTGTTTATATAAGCAGAAGCCTGTCTACAGTAGAATTCTTAAGTTTACCCTGTAATGTATGCCTAGAGATAAGTTCAAAAGCAAATCTGAAATCAATAAAAGCTACAAGTAGTACAGATCCTGCCCTAAAAGTATATTTTTTACTAGATGCTACAGAATAAGAGTGTGATCTAAGACTGAGCATCTAACTCTAGAACCTGCTTGCTTGTTTTCTGATTCAACCCACTCTGAGAGTTTGTTGTACAAATGCTTAGTGTGCAATTTGTTTCTTATGCTAAGAAGGCTATTGGGTTACCTTTTTTTAAGATTGAAACTAGCAGAGCTATACCCCACTTCTTTGGAATCAGTGCCTTACTGTCTATAAATGTAAATAGGGAGACAGGATAAGGGTCCATCAATCTAGATTGTTCTGAATAACTTCAATAGTGATAAAGTAATTGCCCGGGGCTTTGCCATTCTTAATTTGTTTAATATATATTAAACAATTAATAAGATATATTATTTCTGAGCCTGTTACAGGAGCCACTGTGGAAACAGTCTCATGTTAAACTCTAGGTCAAGCTCAACTGGATTTTCTTGCAAATATAATGCCCTAAAATGATCCTCTCACCCTGAAGCTGTTGTAAAGAAAGAAGAGAAACAAAGGCTAGTAGTGAGGAAGGGGGTGGGAGTGGAGGAGGGAGTGTTGTCAGGTGTCAAAACAAACCTGAATTCTTAGACTAGGAAGGCAAAATTGGGTGATATATGAAGAGATCATCTTTATATTTTTTAAAGCAGTGACTAATTCCTTCCTAATCTCATGGCATTCTTAATTAAACTAAGATTGTGCGAAGCCCCTAGTATTTACATTTTTACACTCATTTAGTTGGGTAGTACTGATTGGAGAAGCTAAGTCAGTTTATTGTACTTCGACATAATAGTGTCTCCAGGCCACTCTTCGAGTATAGTAAATCAAATTTGGGGGCTACCTCAGACATAAATGTTTAGTAACTCTGCTATACTGCCCACTTTATCCATTTTGGGCCTTTATCCATGTTTTCGTTAGATACGGGTTTAAGTTCCAAGAAAGCATCATCAAAAGCTTTTAACACTAATATGTTAACAAACTGATCACTATCAGGCAAGCTGTCAATCTAAAATTTAGTAGGAACATGCACAGATTTCCTGGGCACTCACAATCTTGTCCAAATAAAGAAAATAGGGGAAATTATGGTGTTCTTAGTAGATTTTGATGACTGTATTTTAAGTTTATTCAAATTTAGGAAAGAATTCATGAAGTAGATTTTTCATTTCAGAGTATGTTGGGATTTCTTTAAGTGTTGTAAATACTGAGGAACTAATCTACTACTATAAAACTGAATACATTTCCTTATTCTCTGTATAAGGAATGCACCATGCTAAAGGTGCATTCCTTATACAGAGAATAAAACAACTATTGGAAATAATATTTTCCAATATTTGTGAAATAGAATCATATAAATGAAAATGTATTTAATGGATCCCCATCAGCTTTTTACACACTGTTCATACTTTAGAGATAAGTGTTAAAATAAAATTAGTTTTTCAGGGACCAAACAAGCATAATAAAAGTATTTGCTATGATTTCTGTACATCAGTTCATACAATTTTCAGTTTCATACAATATGCCCCAGGTTCCATGCTAGTTTTGTTCATTCATGGATGTTCATCTCTAGATAAGCTTAAGGCATGTTTTATATTGGTAACACACACCACAGATACAAATTGTATGTTCTCTTAAATTAAATATTTTAGTTACAAGATATATATTGATCTCATATGATCTATGCTTTTAGTCTTTCTTGTCAGAGATACATTTACTTTCTGGATTCATTGGATACTTCTAGTTAAATTGCATACAATATAGTATACAGAATGTTCTCTTCATAGAACAATATTTATTTAGGAAAGCGAACACAGGTTCTGTTTGTTAAAAAAAAAAAATACTCCAAGATACTCTGGATCCAGACAATGCTCGAGCAGAGTTCAGTTCATGGAAATAATGCACCTTAATGCATGCTCCAAAAAAGGAGTTTTAGATGGACATGCTTCCTATAAGAGCCCTAAAAATCTCTCCCAAACTGAACAATATGGGAAATAGTCTGAAGGAAACAGTTTGATTTTCATCAAATCAGCTCTTTTTCTTTCCATTAGTGAGAACCTCCACAGGTTTGAATGCTCTTTCATTAACAGAAGGGCACCTTCCATGACCATTTTGGTTTCATGAGCATCTGTAGTTGTATACTTGGATTTACATTGACATAAAATATTATGCTCTCATTTATAATAATTTTTGCTTGGAATATACTTTTGGTGTAATATCAAATTAGATTCCTTTTAGATATATACTTTCTGTTTTATATCTTTTAGCTTTTTTTATTATTATTATGGTTGGTCACACAGTCAGCCAGATGTTAAATATTATTATTACTATTATTATTTAGACTTTTATGTATTTTCTGTGCTTTCTGATTGACTATACCCCACCCTCCTTATGCTGGTCTTTGACCATAATAAAGATTTGATTTGATTGGTGTAATATCCATGGCACATTTCAGTGCCTGATATCATATAAAAACCTGGACTAAAGTCAGTGAATTTTGGATGAGGCCTAGTTTAAGTTTCTCTATACTGTTTATTCTAAGGGTAACTTAACAAAGATGGTAAAGCTGAGTACTTTTCTTGAACCTATGTGTTATTTTTTCATTCAGTGGAAGTGAAGAAGCTTTGTCCAATGAAGACTGTGAGAATGTTTATCATTTGGTATATTCTGCACATCGACCTGTTGCTGTAGCAGCAGGGGAATTCCTTCACAAAAAGTAAGCCTGTATTCACTGTCTGAAAGTTAGTGTCTCGGTGGCTAAACATCAAATCAGCATTTTAAGATTTTTCTTATTTATTGTTTGAACCTTTTTTTTTAAGATTAGTTTTTGTTTGACATGTAGAGATAGAGATGCAATTTATATTGAGATGTTGCTTCATATTAAATAGCTAGTTTGAGCAAGACCCTTCATGTGCACAACTGAACTCCCTTGACTCATTAACAGTCCCAGTGATAGTCCTGAACAGGATTGCCTTGTCTCCGAAGAAGCAAGTCCAGAACTTGGGGGTTGTCCTGGACTCCACCTGAGCCTTATTAATTTAGGTTGTTTACCCTCTTTGGATGGAACGCCAGTTGTGGCCATATCTGGACCATGAGGCTCTGTTGACAGTGACTTATGCCATCATCACTATATGCTGAGATTACTGTAACTTGCTCCATATGTGGCTGCCTTTGAATATAACCTGGAAATTGCAATTGATACAAAATGTGGTTTCCTGGATGTTGATGGGTGGAGCTGCTACTGTAATATAATACAAATATTCCAGCCTTTGCATTGGCTATCTATAGATTTCTAAGACCAATTCAAAGTGTTGGTTAAAAAAAAAAAAGTATTTGCTGCAGGACAACATATGGTTCATTTTTTCCACATGGAATCTCCCCTTGAATCCAGGTAGGGAAGGAATGCTTGAAGTCCTACCCCTACAAAAAATCAAGGAGACCCAGAGACAAGGGCAACCCATCTCTGTGATGGCCCCACACTGTAGAATAGATTGCAGTTAAAGGCACATGTGAGTCCTTCCTCATTGGCTTTCCATAAAGTTGTAAAGACCAATTTGCATAAACAGCCACTTGGTAGCAGTTTTTTGTTACTGTTTTTCTGAAGTTTTATAATTACCAAGCTTCCGTTTTTTGTTTGTGCTGGATTTATGTGATTCATGTTTTAATCCTATTATTGTAAATACTGAATACTTGGGATTTATTAATATGGTTAATATGATTTTCAGCATATGAGCACAAGGAGCACATCTTAAGCGTATCTTTTATGGGATAGAGGAATCATTCTTAAGAAATGTGGCCGCAATTCAGTTAGCATCTAACGGCTTATATTGTGCAACTATTAATTTAATTCATTTATAGATTGCACTTCAGATGTACCAACTTTAACAAAATAGTTACAGTACATTTTAAGCTCAGCCTTCCTTCCCAATCTGTTAAATGTTAATATATATGGCCTGCAACAGAGGGTGATTGTAGTAGCGAATGAAAATTGCTACAAACGCTTTTTGTAGTATATATGTTGTTAAATTAAACTGTTGAATACAGTTTAACAACATTTCTTTTTAAATTCAGTCCCTCTTGATTCTGATAATCTGTGTTACCATTAAATGTGATACAGGTAATATGGAGTTTATCATGCTGCAGATAGTTCCCTATTATATATTTTGTGTAATGTTTGATTGTTTAAATTTTGTATTAATATCCAGTCATCAAAACATTTGTCTATATCGGTCATTTTTCATTTATAAATTGGGAAATTAGATTAGAGTCACAATTAACAGTACTTTCCCCATATGAACAAAACATGAAAATAGGAAAGCAAAGATATAAAATTGATAGAAGAGATATTCATTATCTTGTTACTTATTCATTACTGGTTTTAAAAAAGCATTATGAACTGCTAACAGTTCCACAGCACTTTAATCTTGCATCTTTATCCTACAGATTATGACAAGTGGAATTCTTACTATATGAAATGCTAGTAGTTTAGTCCCAGAATAAAAGACATTACAGGTAGCCCTTGTTTAGTGACCATTCGCAGTTACAATGGTGATGGAAAAGTAACTTTGCAACCAATCCTCTCATTTATGACCTTTGCAGGTCTGTAAAGCAAAGGGAAGCTGAAATAAGATTGTAAGCATGGTTGCAGTTTCACTTAGCAACTGCTTTGCTTAACGACAGAGTTGCCAGTCCCAATTATGGTCACTAAACAAGGACTACCTGTATTTGACTAATCCTATGTGCAACTGCTGTTATGATGTAGTAGTGGTGTGGTTATGGTGATTATCATGATCATAATTGGCAGTAGTATTGAGCCAGTGAATACTGCCTGTTGATGGCTGATACACATTTGTCTATGCACATATGTCTGTGCCCATTTGTCATATTTCATTCATTGATTTGCCTTGTTTTAATTGATAAGAACAACATTCTAATAAAGAACTTTGATAGTTTAGAATGTAAATTGTAAATTACTCTCTGTCACTGCAGATTATTTCAGTATCTAGGGTTTCTCAATTGGGAACATAGTATTATATAGTTCCAGATGTGGTGGTAGTTCAGAAGAAAATTATGTCTAGACCACTACAAAACACTTCCAGTTCTGATGATTAAGTCCAGAAAATACCTCAGTGACCCTAGAATAGTGAGATTGGTATAGCCTGGGGAAGTTCCAGAATGTTCAATTTTAGTATTTTACATTGATAGTCTTTACATTTTGCTGTCACATTTCATATCATTAGAACCCCCACATTTGATAAGATAAACATACACTCAACCTCTTTGCCATAGCATGAACACAAGAATACCCATTGATGATAGACAGGATATTTTGGAATACTGCTTTTCAAAAGGCTGTTGAGAACCGAAAGACAACTAATCCCAAAGACCCTGCTATTTTCCCTTGTATTTTACTTTGAACTTTCCTCTAAAAGAAGGCTTCTGAAAACATAGTCCATAAATTCATCATTCTGATAGACTAAGAGCTCTTAAATCTATCTTCATCTTGATCTTCAGCCCTGATTTTGTTTTATATTTCGTTTTGTAAGATATCATTAAAATATTTGCAACTTCAAACTGGATCACCATTTTAGTGTTCCAGATAGAGTATTTACAAATGACTTTTCAATTTTTCACCAAGCCTTTCTTTCTCCTCTTTGCCACATCTCTTTTATGTTACTTTTTATAAAGACTTCTTTATGGACAATTAGCAGAGCAGCATTAAGATTCTCCATCATATGTAATCTTAACCATAAGTAGCCTTCCACAGTTTAAGTTCCATAAACAAAAAAAGTCTGGTTTGGGTGGTATTTGCATATTCTGTTTATTTGATTGGAGAATAATCTTTAGTTGCTAGTAAATGCCTCCCTTTGGTTTTATTGACTCTAATGAAGAAATACATTTGTTACTAGAGCATTCCATTAAAAAAATGGACAAAAGAAAACATGTTAAAATAAAAGGTACTGTCTTTTTGTAGACTATTCAGTCGGCACGATCCTCAAGCAGAGGAAGCACTAGCCAAGAGGAGAGGACGGAATAGTCCAAATGGGAATCTTATTAGGATGCTGGTTCTTTTCTTTCTTGAAAGTGAGGTAAAATTAACTTATGTTAGGTTATATTTAAAGTGTTCAATTTTAGCAACTTTTTTCAGTTAGTATTATTTTATTTACTGTGGCTAAAGATCTGTTTTCAGGAGAAATAAGGCTTATGGTAAAGTTTCAGTATATTTTGGTCTTCATAATTACTACATGTATTGGAAATCACTAATTTTATTTCATTATTATAAAATACCATCATCGTAAGATTGAAGGAAATGTTCAAAACTACAAGTGAGGATTTTGCCTCTGAATCAGACGGTTTTGAGCTAAAATTTATATTTTTTGGCAAGACTGGTATTAAAGTCACAAATGTTTAATAAACCTTTTTATTTTGCAACTTGGCTCTAAATCTTGCATAATCTTAAGATTGCTTATATTTATAACTTGAAATAAACAAGCTCTTTATAATAAACATATTACAAAATTGAACAGACCACTGAAACATAGTATGTCACTTTTCAGATACCACCTTGTTAATTATAATGCTACTGGGGAAAAAAAACCTCTCTTTGTAAATTAGAACTGTGCCTGTGTGTAAAGGTTATGCAAGATCATGTTAATACAATATAAAAGGCAATAGAGGAAATGATCTTGCTTTAGACTTTTAAAAATCTGTTATTCTTTTTCTAATAAATATGCATGTCCTACTAATTAAAAAGTGACTTTTAAAACTGAGTATGTTTTTCCATTACTTTCTAGAACCTTTTATTATATTCCAATGTGACAAATTCACTTTCTGCTATTACTGTATAATTACACACAAATGTATTCTTTACTGCAGCATCAAATGAATTTTTAGGTATCTGGCTTAAATTTATGCAGTTGGAAAAAATGACAAAATGCTAAATCACAAAGTCATAAATTACAAAGGAAACACATATGAATGTTTTAAGAATTACCTTAGGATAGGATTTCAGCATTGTAATGCAACTGCTAAACAACCTATTCAAAAATATAGTCTTTAATTTGTATTGCAATGAACATTGAAAACAGCTACCACCATTTTAAAAAAAAAAACTTTTTAAGGATTGAAAAATAAGTAGACTAAATGTCATCTGAAAATGGAGTAGTATGTTTTCCAAAACTGAGGCAAACTGAAATTAAAATTATAGTATCAATCTATAAAGAGATGAAGATCAAACTGAACTTGTCAGTAAGCATGAGAATAATAGTTGCTTATCCACTAGCTCCTAAAAATACTAAGATGAAAGAAAAGCACAAGTTAAGCAGTAGTGTTATTCAATTAGAGAAACTCTTTCCACTATTGTATTCAAGATTTTAAGGAGATTTTTAGCAGTAGAAAATGTTAAGCCTGTATATGTATGCATAAGGATACATTGCTATCTCCACTACCCCACAAAGTTTAAGAACTAAAACCTCTAAAAAAACTTTACCCTCAATAATTAGTCTAAGAACTTCAAGAAACAGCCAGAAAAATTAGCAAAAGGTCTTACTTTTACAGTAAATGGTATAGTTATTTTTTAGTAAAGAGAGGTATTATGTTTACGGTAGGCTTTACAAGTCTATAGCTGTGCCCCAGCATCAGAGATGCTATAATCTGCATTCTTTAATCAGGGTATGTCAATCTTTCAAGGCAGTCAAGGTCAGGAAAAGTTAGGAGTCTTGGAATGTATTTTAATGTGGTTAGGGAATAGTAATAGAATCTTGAAAGCCTGTCAAATCCCCTCTCTACTTCAACTTATAACGAATCCAATCAAGACAGAGTTGCTTTAACTTCCTTTTTCACGCTTTCTACCTTTCCAAGACTCAAAAATCTTTTCTGTAACAGCTCAGCATTCCCCCTTCTCTGAATCAAACCCACATTCCTTCACACTGCATTACATATTCTTACATAATGCTGCAAATAATACTGTGCCTATAAGTAGTGTCTGTGAAATTGTCTATTAAGAGTTTTGTTTGTCTGCTTTAATTTTTAGTTACATGAACATGCCGCTTATTTGGTGGACAGTTTATGGGAGAGCTCTCAAGAATTGTTAAAAGACTGGGAATGCATGACAGAATTGCTATTAGAAGAACCTGTCCAAGGTGAAGAAGGTACTCATCAGGTTTATTTATTTGATGAAAACAGTATGGCATTGTCTAATCTCTTCCATTTTAAGGCAGTGAAGTCAAGTGGAATGCTTATTTAAACTGTGTTTCCAGTTTATAATGTTTTACTCCCACTGAAATCAATGATACAAAGTAGTAGGAGTCTTAGTCAGGATCTCGCTTTTTACTTATACCACAATCAAAAGTTATTTATTTATTGCATTCATTTATAAGGCCACCCAACTCAATCAATGTAACTCTGGGCAACGTACAACAAAAATAAACATTAGCAAAAAATAACCATACATTATCTAAAAAAACTCCTCCAGTATATAAAATGGCAAACCAAATGAGTTAATTAAAAGAACCAGAAAGGAATTCCACTTAACTGAACCCAAATATCGGGGGGGAAAGCCAAGTCTTAATGGTTTTTCTAAAGGCAAGCAGCATTGAGGCCCATCATATAATTGGGGTGTGGGAGGGAGAAGAACAGAGGCAACTACCAAAAAGAAACATCTCCTAAGTCATATGATGGCAGTGTTTCAGCAAGGGATCCTGGATGACTTCCCTATGGAAGCATATGGGGTGGGCAGATATTCTTGGGAGAAGGTGGTCTTGCAAGTAACCTGGTTCTATGCCATGTAATTTTTATTGACAAAAAAATTATACAGAATTAAAAACTAAAGAAACCTAAAGAATTAGGGAAAAAAAGATATGAAAAGATAAAAGAAAAAGTGAGAAACGGTAAAAGTCAAGAAAAGAGAAGAAAAATGAAAAAGAAAAATGTCTAAAGTAGCAAATTCCGGTCTTCTTTGCAGCAGTTACAAACATGATTGTTACTATTTCAACCCTCCCAGATTACATCAACAGTTTATACATTTTAGCAATCACATATTTATCATTTGTATATAATTCCCTTTCAAATTCTGTTACATATTGTTCTATGCCTGGTAACTTTCTCTCCATATTAAACCTCTCCCTTAATTGCACTTATGAAAACTATTGAAAAGTAAATCTTAAGTTCTCCATTTTTCTGTACTAAAAAGTCTTCATATGTTAACCATTTTTCTTTGTCCTCTGTTTCTTTTCTATAAAATGCTTCTTGACCCAAGTCCAACAAAAGTATTTTCAGGTATAGCCTAGGTTTGTATCTATTCCATATTTGTAATATGGCATTCCTAATATAATTATTCTTAAAATCTACATTTACTTTAACTTTGTCATACCATAAAAAACCATGTCACCCAAACCTCAGGCCATCTTCTTCTAATTCTAACAATCTCTTATTTTTTAATAACAACCATTCCTGCATCCAAACCAAACAGCAGGTAGTAAAATACAATTTAAAATCAGGCAATCACAGTACACCTCTTTTCTTTGCATCTTGGAGAATCTTATGTTTAACCCTTGGTTTCTTCCCCTGCCGTATGAATCTGGATATATCTTTTTACCATTGTTTGAAGGGTATATCATTTCTCAAAACCGGTGTTTTCTGGAATAAAAACATTTTGAGTAACATATCCATTTTTACCATGGAAATTCTTCCCAACAATGATAATTGTAATTTTTCCTATCTTAATAAGCCCTTCTTAATTTCACTCCATACCTTAATCATTTTGAAATAACATAACAATTCATATTAGTTATAATAATGTCTAAATATTTCACTCTTTTCTCAATCTGAAACCCAGGTTTACAAACAATTCTTTTTGATCTTCCATCTTCATATTCTTTGTCAACATCTTTGTTTTATCCTTATTAATTTAAATCCAGCCAGGACACCAAATTCCCTTAGTTTTTCTATTAGTGTATCTATCCCTTCTAGAGGGTTTTCCAGAATTAAAACCAAATCATTGGCAAATTCCCTTAATTTATACACTTCTTTTTTAACTTTCACTCCAGAAATTCTCTCATCTTATATCTCTGTTCAATACTTCAAGTGCCAGAATAACCATGTAGGGCTTTTTGTCAAGAGAATCCATCCACTATGACTCAGAAGGCATAGGTAGCTTGAGGCAAAGCATTAATAAATGTTGGCATGAGTAAACACATTTTATTATAATTTTCCATTTATTTTGAATGAACCTTTTCATTTAGCTTGAATTAAAACATTAGGGTGCGGTTTCTTTAGTCTCTTAAGCGACACTTACTCAAGATATGCCAAGGAAAATTATGTGTTCAGGGATTACTTTGAAATATTTTCTGCATTAAGCTGCTTGTATATGACAACAACTTGTAATTGATTTTTAAAAACTAAATCCACTAGCCTTACTCTTGATATCAAGGGAATTAAGAGGTGCTTTAGAGCAGTGCGAAATACTTAAGTACCAAACAAATTAAATAACAGATGAATATTAGGGAGAGGAAATTCCATAGCAGTTTTAAATTGTGGAACAGAAAGTTAAAATCTGAAAATTGATATAAATTTTAATCAGTAAATAATTACTTATGGCCATATCCAGAACATGCACACTGAGGCAAGGTTTTTCAAACTGGGTACTTCAAGAACTTGATGGAATTCTGTAAGATACTAAGGGCAAAAAAAAAAAAAAACCCCACCCTCAACTGCACTGATTAAAACATTAACTTCCCAAGTAATTGTGAAATTCAATTTTTAATTTTTGTACATTGGAAATGTTGATTTTGTATTTACAATACACAGTTTATATTATTAGGGCATCTATTTTTGTGACATGTAGATAACTTTAATAAATTACCATGGACACAAACTTGGTTTTATTGTCTTTTTTTATATATTATTTTTATTAAGGATTTTAAACAGAAGATAAAAACTAACAAGAACTATATAAAGTGAAAAGAAAAGAAAAAAGAGAAAAAGAACAAATAAAAAGCCAGGAGTGCAGAAAGGAAAAACAGAAAGAAATAGGAAGTAGCTTCCGATTTTCTTTATAGTAATTATAAGTATAAATACAAAATTACCTCTTACTCTATGGTTACAAAAACAGATGCTCCTTTTTCTATTGTATATTTTTTTCTAATCATCAAAACTGTAAGTCATAACTTCCTTTTTTTCCATTTCACACAAAAAGTCTATAAGGGGCTGCCAGTCAGTAATAAATATAGATACTGTTTTTTCTCTAATCAAGGAAGTCAATTTAGCTATCTCTGCAAATTCCATGATCTTCACCAACCATTCCTCCAGTGTGGGCAATGCCAAATCTTTCCACTTTTGTGCATATAATAATCTCGCTTCATTTATCATATATAAAAACAAAGTTCCATGACTTTTTTCCAGCTGTTTGTCCATAAATCCCAAAAGATAAGCTTCCGGTTTCAGTTGTATATTAATCTTTAAGATCCTCTGCATTAGTGTATGTATTTGTATCCAAAATTTTCTGGGTTTTTTATACGTCCACTGAGATGATAAAATTGTTCACATTTCCAACATAAATTTGAGGTACCTTTATACAATCTAGACAGTTTCTCTGATGACATATACCAATGATACATCATTCTATAGAAGTTCTTTAAGGTTATAACATAATGTAAATTTCAGTCCTTTCAACCACATATTTTCCCATTGTTCCATTTGTATATTGTAACCAAAATTTTTAGTTCATTTTATCATACGTTCTTTCACTTGTTCTTCTGTTTCATATTTCAATAAAAGTTTATACATTTTAGCAATTACATGTTCATCATTAGTATACAATTCTATTTCAAATTCAGTCTTACAGTGTTCAGAACCATACATTCTTTTATCTACTTGAAACCTTTCTAATAATTGTATACAAGTAGTCTCCAGTTTAAGAATGAGTTCTGTTCCCAAGGTCCATCCTTAAGTCAAATTTGTATCTAAGCCAGAACAGTATTATCATATAATACTGTATAAGTAGTATTGTGTAATGAACCTGAACCATTGTGTATTTAACTCAAATGTGCTACAATAGGCTCAGCAGAAATTCAGTTATAGTAGGTTTCAAAGATTGTGAGTACTTGTATCTAAAAAGCATACACTAAGCTGCCTGAATTAAGTCGGCAAAGTCATCTTAAATAGGTCCTTAAACCATTTTGCCATTGTTAATGTTTATATTCTAGATAAGGAAAAATAAGAAGGCATTTTTTCCTTGCTTATTTGACCTTGGATCCAGACCAGGGCTTCTTGGCAGGCCATCAGATCTACACATCTTGTTTTATCTTGGGCAGCTAAAACTGCAGTCAATTAAAAGTAGCTTGTTGTTTTAGCTTTTTATTAATATCAATATTTTCCCAACTTATAAACTTTTTATCAGCATGTTCTAAAATATGGCAGTTGTAATATTCTGGCAGTATTGCAAACAATATTATTGTTTGTAATATTGCCAGAATCTCAAACTTTTCAGATCCCACACAGTGACATCATATAGAATTTCAGAAGATGAAATCACTTGCTGTGTATTTCCCATTTGAATTGGAGTTGCAGCCTGACATGGGGCTGCACCTGACATGGGGAGGTGGATAATTTCCCATTCAAGCCCTTGGATAAAACTCTCGATAGCATCTTTACCAGAAACTGAGTCATGAGAAAAAGAAAAACAGAGATTTTGCTTTTTAGGATTACAAGACATTTTAGCACATTGCCATCTTGCCAGAAGTTGAAGAATGAAATATGTTCACATTATTTAAAATCAGAGGAACCACTTCAGTATTATATAAAGCTCATAAAAATTGTGTACAGTATTACACATATTATATAAAACCAACTGAAACAGGCTCTCTTAAAAGTCTTTAAAGTATGGGAAGAGGACTTGGATTTTGAATTTAATAAGTCAGCTTGGAACTGACTTATTAAAGTATTAAAAAATCTATTGTGGCAAGTCATTGATAAATTAACTATAAAAATGTATTCACTTTTTACTTATAGTAGCCAAATTAGTCATTGCTAAACAGTGGAAATATATGGATAATATTTCAGTGGATAGATGACATGGTAAGATCTGGTCTGTAGCTTTATTTGAAAAGTCTCTGATAAAATCCAATGTATGATAAGTCAAAGGATTGAATCATTGTTTTACAAAGAATTTTATTCTTAATATAAGCATCCTGCAAACAGTTTCTATCAAACATTATGGGTATGTTAAAAATATATCAGTACTATGTAAATGTTGTGTAATTCAAATAAAAATTAATTGATTAATTAATTAACAGAAAAAAATCATAGGTAGCACTTTACCCTGTAAAATTTTACTGTTTTAATCAAAGTCTTTCTAAATTCTGTCGGATGGGTTGTAATCAAATTAATATCTATTATATCTCTGCTACCCATTTTGATTAATTAAAGGGATATTGATGCCTGTCATATTTATTGTATCAAAATATCGGAAAAATAAAATGCATCTTATTTTGGATCAATCATATTTTAAAGTAGTGAACATAGAATTGACTGGGAAAAAAAATTAATAGCAGAGTCCCAAGGAGTCTTTTAATTAATTGTTGTTTTATTCCCAACTAGTCTCAATTTTCTAATTTTTGCAACAAAATAATTCCTTATGGATTTCTTCTCTCTATACAAGTGGCTTTTTGAATAGATAAATTGAATACATTTATTTAAAATTGTGTTTCCTTCCATAAATTTACAAATGTATTTGCTTATATTCACAAGCTATGTGTTTTCATTTTTGTGTTTTGAGGGTTTTTAAAAATTTCTGTGCTTTTATTATTTTCAGTGTTTTGTTGATCAGTGTAATTATTATTATTATTATTATTATTATTACTACTACTACTACTACTACTACTACTACAGGTTATCAGAAGATAAAATGTTCTGTTCAGGATATTGAACAAAAATTGTAGCTTATTATTTGCATTGATTAGTTGCCAACATTTCATTGCTCCATTTTATATTCTTTATCTCTGTAGCAATGTCTGATCGACAGGAAAGTGCACTTATAGAGCTAATGGTATGTACAATTCGACAAGCTGCAGAAGCACACCCTCCAGTGGGTAGAGGAACTGGCAAGAGAGTAAGTTTTTTTGTTATTTTTCTCTTAGAATTTTTGTACATATGTATTTCATTGATTTTAAACAATACCTTATCAGGGAACCAGTGACTAGAAGACATATAGTACGAATGATATTTGAGTTCAATATTCTATTTTATAAGTGCATTTTCTTGTAAAATGCAAGCTTCTGTGACAGTGAGAATTCAGAAGTTTTTTTGTAATCATGTCCAGAACATAAGATGTTTGTCTTTATGAGCACTCATAATGAGAATGTGGAGGTGCACATCTCCAGACCTTTAAGACTCAAAGGGTTTTTGGGAGACATATATCCTCGTAACAAAATAGCTTAACCAATAGGGTGGAAATCTGGGGACCATATTCTGACTCTTAGAAACTTTCTGGGCCTTCATACCTTAGCCCTGCCTCCAGTTTTAAGACAAAAGCTTGGTAGTCCACTACTACCACCTATCAATTTATTTTAAGGTAAAAATGCAAAAAAAAAAAAAAGATTTTTTTTCCACTTAATATTCTACAAGGCAAAAAACAAAAACCCAAGAATATAGAATATCCAAGGATAGTATCTCTCAAAATTTAGCCATAGTTCCCATATATCATCAGGTTTGTCAAAATTAGAGCTATTATTATGGATGTAACATATATAATTTCAGCAGTAAAATCTCCTAGTTGGATAACATAGAAGAGTGCTACTAGATGATTCAACCCTTCTACCTCTCCTTAGGAGATAGAGCAATCTCACCAGAGATAAACAAAACCGATTAAAAAAAAGATAAAGGCACTTTTAAACTTTAAATATTAAAAATGTAAATATTCAGTGTTGGAAAAAATTAATTATGGTGTTGCCAAATTACAAGAAATTTACAAAAGAAAATGCAGTGCTCCTCGGAGATCACAAGTTAATGCTGGTCAGCTACAAAGTCCTCTTGAAATCTTGAGAAAGAGATGCTGCGGATGCATCAGCTTATTGTAGATTATAAATACAAATAATATTTTTATGATGAGCCTTAAGAATGGATATAGATTGAAATTACACAATTTTCACTAAGTTGTAGAAAGAAATATGAACTTCAAAGCATGAGGCTCAACTGAGTTCCACAAAAAAACCAAAAATGAAACCCAAAGCAATATCCCTGATTACCAATTTAGCTATTTCTACAGAAGTAGAACACTTCTTGAATCACAGTTATCCTCTGCTGCAAGATTCCCTAATTGCTGTAGATTTGGGGGGATTCCGAACTTTCCTCAGAGGCTGTTGGGGAGATGGAAGCCTCAGTACCTTACTCAGACTCTTTCCTCAGCTTCTTTAAGTTTTAAAAATTTTTCTGTCTCTTGTAGTGTGTGTGCGCTAGGGCTGTCTTGAAATGGATGTGATCCATTGTACATGTCTCTCCCTCATGGGGATGTGGATTGATGACCTAGTATTAAGAACTGTTGTCCCTTGTAGAAATGTGGATTGTCAGTCTTGCAGGAGGTGCTATATCATACTTTGGCAGAATAAAGCAAGAAGCATTGTTGGAGCTCTCCTCCACTAGGTGATACAAGGTGTGAAATGGTCTTAATGATCTAAGAGTTCATCTGCTTAGGGTCACCTATATTCCCTAATTTATTGGAATACAAAAAATATGTTTTGTTATTGGAATAAAATATGTCTCGGTAGTTAATTCCTCAGCTCTACAACTTAAAATTCTCTGACCTAATTTAAATATTTAATCAATTAAATAATTAAATGATGAAATAATTAGCCTTTATGTGATTGTTCTGTAGATGTTTTGCTTGCATTGTAGTGATGTAACTTCAGTCATGGATGTATCTATATCAATGCTAGTATATTTTAGGCTTAAGTTAACTAACCTTCTAAAGATAAGATGCTAAAAGATCCACATACTTTTTTTTAAATAACTCTGCAGGAAGTCCTTGGTTAATGATTATTCGTTCCGTGAAATCACAATTTGGGTACTTGACAACCAGCTCACAATTACGATGGTCATAGCATCCTGTGGTCATGTGATCACCATTTGCAACCTTCATTGCCAGCTTCCAACAAGCAAAGTCAGCAGAGAAACTGGCAGGAGGTCGCAAATGGCGATCCCATGTCATGCTTAATGACCATGCAGAATTTGCTTAACAACTGCAACTGGAACTCCCAGAACTGCTGTCGTAAGTCAGCATAGTCACGTGATGTTGCCCTTTATGATTGTATCACTTAGCAATGGAGTTGCTGGTCCCAATTACTGTCATTAACCCAAGACTATCTGTATTGATGGCTGGTGTGGGTCTTCCGGGCTGTGTGGCCGTGTTCTGGAAGTTTTGTTTCCT